ACTTCTCTCTGTACTCCTCCTCTAGCAACACCAGAACATTTTGGATGCTGTTAGATCCGAAATGATTGAATTGGTCTCATGAGACCAGAGTATGGATTCCCAGAAGTCTATATTTTGTAAATACGGGTCTTGGAAAAAGCTAAATGAGTTTGTGCTTTGGCTACAGTCGGTAGTTCTGGTGTGGATAAACAACCATGCATGTCACTTCTGCATGCTGCATCTTACTCTGTGAGATAAAGTGTCACTCTTTTCACAGCTTTTGATGGCTCTGAGACACTTTCACAGTGTTTCTCCTGCTCTTCTTATAGCAAAAACTCACTCATCACTAAATGAAAGCTTTAAGTGAAGACCTAATTATTTCAGGGGCCTTTTCACAAGTCCATTGTTTTTGAATTTCTGTGTTACTTTGGCTATATTTTCACACTTAAAACAATAATTTGGTATTCCTCTTGTACCATTGTCCTCTTTTATACTAAGAAATAAATCTCTTGACAGTTCTTGCTCAAGTGGTTTCATTATTGTCAGCATTAAGTCTGAGTATGATTCAGTGGGCCATATAACACTTAATTATCAAGAAATTACTTACCTTTAACAGTTTTGGTTCAATATACTTACCTGTTGATCAATAATTGCCTTAACCTTACACCAGAATTTTTTTTGTTTGTTTTATTTAGTAACTTTCAGGAGGGTTTACTCATTTTTGCAACACAACATTTTATCACTTTGATAAGAAAATGGTATTAATAATTTTAACATTCTTCTTTGGTAACTGATTAAGCAGACTTGCTGGAATATTATATCTCTAAAAAACCATAACATGTCTTCTAAGCAAATAGTTATTGCTGAATTTGTTAAGTTTCAGAGGGGGTGTACTCATTTATGCTGTGCACTGTGTATGTATATATACAGTGGGTACGGAAAGTATTCAGACCCCCTTAAATTTTTCACTCTTTGTTATATTGCAGCCATTTGCTAAAATCATTTAAGTTAATTTTTTTCCTCATTAATGTATTATGTCATTGCTGTGACACTCATAAGGGCCTTTCGCACCGCAGGAACCTTTTCATAGTACCAGAACTAATTGTGGAACTACCCACTTTGGTCTGAATACTTTCCGTACCCACTGTATATATATATACTGTATATATACACATATACATTACTGCTGTCAAATCGATTAATCGGGATTAATCGCATCCAACATAAAAGTTTGTGTTTACATAATATATGTGTGTAATGTTACAAATATTTGCGTCTATATATTCATAATTCTATATGATTTGCTATATATATAAATATATATATATATATATATTTAATTTATTTCTTAAATATATTCACATGTGTGTGTATTTATTTATACATATAAATATACACAGTACATACACATATATTATGTAAACACAATTTTATTTTGGAAGCGATTAATCACGATTAATCGATTTGACAGCACTAATATATATATTTTTGGGGTCATTTTTTTCAAGAAATTAATACTTTTATTTAGCAAGGATGCATTAAATCAATCAAAAGTGATAGTGAACATTTGTTACTCTTACATTATTGTTACAAACGATTTCTATTTTCAATATATGCTAGTTTTTCCACTTTCTACTCAAAGAATCCTGAAAAAATTTATCACAGTTTCCACAAAAATATTAAGCACTAAGCAGCACAATTATTTTCAACATTGATCACCAGATTTCTTGAGCAGCAAATCAGCATATTAGAATGATTTCTGAAGGATCATGTGACACTGAAGCCTGGAGTAATGATGCTGAAAATTCAGGTTTAGCCATCATATGAATAAATTTCATTTTAAAATATAAATTTAAATAGAAAACTGTTATTTTAAATTGTAATATTATTTCAAAATGTTACTGTTTTTACTGTATTTTTATCAAATAAATGCAGCTTTGACTTCTCTCAAAAACATCCTATAAAATCATAACCCAAACATTTGAACAAGCTAGCACAAGTTAACACAAGTTAGCTCCTTAATAACTTCCTCCTCCTCCAGATAATGACATAATTGTTATTGGTAAAACAACAGAAATCAGTATCCAAAAAAAAAACATTTACTTCAAGTTAGTTAGGTTATATCCTATTTTCTTGCCATTGTGTAGAGTTAGAAATTAGAATTAATAACGTTTAGGTGCCTGACCTTGACCACAGCATATTTCTGAAAGTCTGGTATGCATATTTATAGAAATAAATTCTTAAATTACAACAAAGACATTCAAAACATTTCAAAAGGTACTGCATAACAGGAATGGCTCACAGAATAACAGTTCAAGATGCAGCTGAGCTCAAGCAGTGAATGTTTATCTGTATAGGCATATCTGAGTGCTCATCCATCTGTTGAGATACTTCCTGTATGCCGTACCAGTCTGCACCTGACGGCCCCGTCACAGGAAGTGGTGAAACCAAATACAAGCGGTTTCCTCCAAAGGTCAACACCACCCAGCCATCACATGCCAGCTGAGGTCAGGACGACATGATTTGGGTCAAACGCCTAAAGATATTTGTGTTATGACATTTTTATTTGAAATCTGGCCACATATATTTGAAAATATATTACCAAGCATGTCTTATTATATGCAGTAACAAGCATATGTATTAACAAGCAAGCTCTTTTGGGATGTTATGCATAGTATATCGACAGCAACTTGACATATTCCAGATTCTATTTGACATAAAAATGTATTTCTAAACATAAATGTGTCTCTTGGTCTCTGTAGAATGATCAGAACTATTTCAATCATGAATTGTTTAGAGAGTCCAATCCAAAGAGAGGTGACCAACCCTAAACAATTGTGATTGTCAGCACATTTCAACACTCTTGTTCAGTTTGTTTGAATTGATAATGTAAGCAACCATTCTTTGTAAAGTAGGAGAGGCTGAGGTCCAAAAATATCAAGAGGGAGACCACCCGTCTAAATCGGAACCTGATAACTGTTCGCATTTCATTCCTAATATACACTCTTATCTTGGGCATGGTTGATGGCTTATTTCCATATTCAGAAAAGATATCTTTCGTCATTTTCTCAGGCTCTCGATTGTGGTTTTGAACTCAACCACAACATACAGTAGAAGTTAACAAAAGCAACTTCAATATCAGACCATAAATGAGCGTTTCCTGTCAGTAACTTTTCATTGGGATATTACATCATCTTGCTCAGATTTCCAAACATTGAAATTAACTGAGTGGCATCTGACCTTGGTTGCTGTGTTTTTTCTGGCTGTTGCGACCCGCCCCCTCAGGCATGGTGTGACTGTATCACAGGAAGTTGAAACCTGCAAAACAAATGCAAAGTGTTAAAAAGAAAACGTTACATGTTTTTCCTATAAGTTACATGTTACATGACAATTATAATCAAAAACGTGTATTTAAAAACAATGGCAGTAAAATGACAATGTCACTTCGCAGCAAGAATGTCTGCTTGGAAAATAAAATAATAAAATATCAAATATTAATTAAATTAAATTAAATTAAATTATTGGGTAGCACTGTCACGTCACAGCAAGAAGGTCTGTTTGTAAAATAAATGTAAAAATGTAAAAAAGTTTGTAAAATAAAATAAAATAAAAAGCTCAGTGAGTAGCATCTCACAGCGATGTCTGTTAAATAAATAAACAAAATCAATCAATCAATCAATCAATAAAAATCTGTAGGGCAGAAGCATGTCCTGCACAGTCAGCTCAGACATAAGTCACAACATTATAAGCACCCAACAAATGTGTTGTATATTCCCATTAGTTTAGACTGAGAAAAACTACAGCAAACTGGCTTATTCTTTATCAGTGCTATAGTGCCTTCCGCTTCTTTCACGAGAAGAGGAAGATAATAAAAAAAATTTAGAGGAAAAAAAATACCAAAGGCCTGAGCCAATTAAAGAGCTAAAACTCGATAGACGCTGTTTGGGAAAGAGTGGGGGTGTAACTCACAGCCTTTCTTCGCAGGGTTTCGTCTTGCACTTTCTCTCTCTCTCTCTTACAAAAGAAGAGAAAATGAAACATATGTAATGGTTGGCATAGACACAAAAATCCGCAGCTCTCTTTCCCAAATGTTGAGCATGTGTCCTGTCAGCGCAATTGGTGCTGGGACTTCAGGAAACGGAAACAATCGGAATAGACAGGGCTCCTCTATGATGTGTTAATGTTTATCATATCCCGACAAGCCATCTCCCATGTCATCTGCCCCGGCCTTCACTCCGTAGGCTCCCCGCTGCCCGTCACTCAGAGGACAACACCAGCAGGAGAGCTCAACATCTGAGAGAAAGCTTGAACTATCCAGCCACCCTCCATAACTCAGAAAGAGACAGAAATAGTTCACAGCATAGGGTAGAAGTTCTACATACTCGTTCTGCTCTGATGTCTTACAATAAAATGGACACTGCTCGTTTTCTACGCTTTGATTTATGAATTTCAATAAAGAGGTTTCTATCATATAAAACTGGGCTTTTAGAGGACCCAGAATGAATAGTGGGCAAGTGGCCAAACAATAACAAAAATTATTAATCGCAAATAAAATATCCTTAAAATAAAACTGGGAAAAAAGACAATTTCTTTTTAAATATGTTTTAAGAATAAAATTAAATAAATTAAATAAAACTGAAAAAATATTATAAAGAAATTTTCTTAATTTTAAGCTCTAAATAAAATGTATTAAAAACTAAAATAATATTTAAAAATGATACAGCTAAATACAGGCATCACAACATTAATATGTACAGTATGATTACACAATTGTTGATTTCATTTTTACATTTATAATTAGTGTTTTTAAAGATAAATGAGTGTTGCATTATAATAAAGGTAATCTAAATGTAAAAATATGGGAAATGAATTAAACCAAACATATTGTGCTAATGAAAAATAAAAATGATTGAAAAAAAACAATCTTTCTAAATAAGTTAGAAATAAAAAATAATAATTATTAAATAAATAAAATAACTAAAAGCAATTATATAATTGAATTCAGGCATCACAACATTAAAATGGACAGTATGAAAATATTCTTAAAATAAAACAGAATTTTTCTTCCAAATGTGTAAAAAAAAAAAAATGCATTTTTACAAGTAAAATGTACAGTGAGATTACATTGTTGATTCAACATTGTAATCATACTCAACCATTGATTGTTACATTTAAATATCCAATATCGACTGATACAGATAAATTAACAAAAATCTGCAAAATTCTCCAATAACCAATATGGTACAGACATATCGTGCATCCCTAACATTGTATGGCTAGTTGCATTTTATCATTCACATTCAGCATTGCTTTGGCAATCTAATTTTGGGTCACAATCCACTGATCGACAACCACTGATCTAAAGTTTTGGATCACATAAAGTATGGAGTGCCAAAAGGATCTGTCCTAGGTCCTCTGCTATTTTCAATATACATGTTTCCCCTTGGTAATATTATTATAAAATACGGGATTAGTTTCCACTGTTATGCTGATGATACTCAACTACATATCTCAACAAGACCAGATGAAACTTCTAAATTATCTAAGCTAACAGTGTGTTAAAAATTTAAAAGATTGGATGACCAATAATTTTCTCCTATTAAATTCGGATAAGACAGAGATATTACTTATTGAACCAAAAAAAAAGTACACAGAATCTCTTGGATTACAATTTGCAACTAAACGGATGTACTGTTCATTCAGTAAATGATATGATGATACAAAATATGATCATATTACCCCAATTTTATAGTCTCTGCACTGGCTACCTATTAAGTTCTGTATCAGTTACAAAATATTATTACTTACCTATAAGGCCCTTAATGGGTTAGCTCCTGCGTACCTAACTAGTCTTCTACCACGCTACAATCCATCACGCTCCCTAAGGTCACAAAACTCTGGACTTTTGGTAGTACCTAGGATATCAAAGTCCACTAAAGGAGGTAGAGCTTTTTCGCATTTGATTCCAAGACTCTGGAATAGCCATCCTGATAATGTTCGGTGTTCAGACACACTCTCTCTGTTTAAATCTAGATTAAAGACACATCTCTTTGGCCAATCATTCAAATAATACATCTCATAATCTTGTACTGCAGTTATATCTGATCAAACGCACATTATTATTCTTTAGCTTGGGTTAAACAAATCAATTTTGGTTTGATTGCAACATATAATAATTGCTGTTAATAGTGTTCATCGTCTGTTTGATTACATCTTTAATTGATTTTTCCGTACATTTCTGCCATATGTACATTAACTGACAGTCACCACTGATAAGCTACTACTAAATATATAGTAGAAATTTAATATTCTGTAAAGTTGCAATGATTTGTATTGTGAAAAGCGCTATACAAATAAACTTGAATATACCCCAGAGAGACAGATTCAGTCTGTGCATGATATAGCTCCTGTTATTTAGGCAGCTCTGTTTGTGTCCATACTTCAGTTGCAATGAAACAACATTTCATTGGAGCCAAGTGTAATGACCTGTTTTCGATGTCTCATAACCAGACTAAATAAAAAATTACCCTGGCACTTTTGTCCTTCAGAGTGTTTCTCACCGGAGTCCCCTGGATCCTTTAGGACCCCATTTCCAGCTCTGCCTCATTAAAGGCATCTCACTTCCTGTAACTGTGAGCATGAAGGTTGTAGAACACTACAAGCCTCTGCGGTTAAAACCCCATGTCCTTTTTTGGCTCCAGAGCTTGTTTGCTGCGAAATTCCCGAATTCCAGAAATGGAATTGTGGTCAAAATTAACTCGCTTTCCGACAACAGATTCTGATAGCGAATAAATGTTTCTGTTGGGGGTGGGGACAGCAAGCATTTTTGAGGCCGAATGGATGAGAGCCAACATCTGGTTAGCCAGCGCAGAGGTTAGAATGAGGTTAGCGAGACTCCACTCTCCCTAATGCAGAGCAGCCAGTCTCCATACGTCTTCCAAACACCCTGACATGCCCCTCGAGCAAAATTGCAACTTTGTAATAATGAAAAATGTCAAGCGGGAGGCCTTTTTCCACCATGTAATTTTCATTACAGTTGCATCTCTCGTGGCATAATTCCAGGTGCATCCGTATGCTCGGCACTCTGACAGTCACAGAGACAAAACTACCCGCTGACAGAGTCCTATTACATGAGAGCACAGCTGGACAGCTGTGTGCCTGTTCTTGCCTGCATATGTGGGTGTGTGTGTGTGTTTTGGGGAGTTTTCTTTTGCGTGTCTTAAAGGTAGAAGAGCTGGATGGCAATTATATGTTAATGTGAAGGAGTTCACCGTTTCTTGTATTGTAATATAAAAGAGTCAGTCCCTGACAAAACACAGCAGAATGCTGAAAAATAAAGGTTTCAAAAGGGGCTTTTGCAAGTATGCCATAGAACAGGGTTTCGTAAATGCAGGGAGTTCATATGGAAGCCTGTTTATGCAACTTTTCATCTCACAATTCAGATGTTTGATGTTGTTCTGAAAAAAGAGGTGAAAGTTTATATCTCAAAATTCTTAGTTCAATTTTCTTAGAATTGCAAAAGAAAAAGTCAGAATTGTAAGATATAAATTCATAATTGCAAGAAAAAAGTCTGAATTGTGAGACAGAAATTCATAATTAGCTTTTTAATTTTTTTTATTTCATGGCAGAAAAAAACAGATTTGTGAGATGTAAACAGAATTTGAAGAAAAAAGTCAGAATTGTGAGAAGTACATTTAGAATTGCAAGAAAAAATTCTGAATTGTGAGAAAAAGTCTCAATTACCTTTTTTATCTTTTCAAGTCTGTGGTGAAAAGTTGTCACATTAAAATAAACAAATGGGGCTGCACAATTAATCGTAATAAACCTGAAATTGCGATATATCAAAGTCTGCAATTAAAGAAGTAAATGCAATGTCTGTTGCATTGCGTGTTTCATAGTGAAGAGTGGCACTGTGTTCATTTACACGTGCAGCTTATAATAGTGTTTTGTGAGCGGCTCTGTTCATAGTAAATGCTGCTTCTCATGAATTCCATCTCTGCAAGTTTAATATGCATTTGCGAAAGCAATGTGTGCTCAGTTTACTTTATTTACATTTACACTGGAATAATTTCCAACATTTTGGTGGATAGAAGTTTACAGCATTTTACCACTATTCCACCAAAATAAAATCTTGAGGATTTGATGTTTTAAAAGCTTGAGAGTTTGAATGTTTGTGAAAAAGTGAAGAAGTAAATACATACATATTTGTATTGTAACTCATAGTGTTAGTTAGTTCTTGTAAAGAGTGAACTCAAGTATGAACACCCTTAAAAGAAACTATTCCCATCGCAACTGTTCAAATCGCAATTGCAATATAT